TAAGGATTTTTGTGCCATAAAATGTGGTCTATTTTCATGAATGTTTTGTTAGAACTTAAAGTGTGGTCTCTATTTTCAATGAACAAAAAATCCATAAATTTCTCATATCCAATTTTTTATTGATTGTAACGTCTTCCATGTTCATATTTATTTTTTTCCCCACTTATTTGTTTATCCTGGAAAAGGGAATTTATGACTCCTATTAGTATTACATTTTTGAATATTTTCCTTAGTTTCTGCTTTATGTGAATTGCTTATTTGCTATTTAGAACATAAATATGTCTCTTACATTTGCATATGAATTTTGAGTTTACATTATAAAGAGTCCTGCTTGTCACCCTCAATTTTTTTTTTTTTTTTTTTTTTTTGTGGTCTGAATTTCACCTTGTTTGCTAGTAAAAATGTGACGCCACCTCCTTTTTGTTTTCGAATGCTCTCGCCCATCATCTTATTTAATGAAATAATTAAATCTGTCTGAGTCACTTTATTTTAGGTGTATCTTTGTATGTTGCAAACAAAAGGTTTTTTTACATTTAATCTAAAAACATTTTTATTTATATAGTTAAGCCCACTTACGCTGATTAACATAATAGATTCAGTCTAACTTGGAGTTATTTTTTCTGTTAAATGTACTGTTTATATGAGCATTTCTTCTTAAAAGTCTTTCACTATTTCTTTTTTGTGTTTTAAAAATTTTAGTTTTTCAGATATTAAGGAAGGTAGATTTTGAGATTGCCTTGATAATTTTATTTTTATATAATACACCTAGTTCCATCTTTCTTTTTTCTTTTTTTTTTTTAGACAGAGCCTCAAGCTGTCCCCCTGGGTAGAGTGCTATGACATCACAGCTCACAGCAATCTCCAACTTCTGGGCTCAAGCGAATCTCCTGCCTCAGCCTCCCAAGTAGCTGGGACCACAGGTGCCCACCACAACACCCAGCTATTTTTTGGTTGCAGCCGTCATTGTTGTTTGGCAGGCCAGGCTGGATTCAAACCCGCCACCTTAGGTGTATGTGGCTAGTGCCTTAGCCACTTGAGCCACAGGCACTGAGCCAGTTCCATCTTTCTTAGATAGTTATTTGTTTTCTACTATGAACAATCAGAAAACTAGTTTTTATGCTCTCCCTCCTCTTCCTTTTGAGTGTGTGTTTTTGTACTCTTAAATATTTAGCACAAGAACTTGATTTCATTTCTCAGTTTTAAAAGCTACCTTCATTCTTAGATATTATAGACACTGCCAACAGCAAGTTTATTCTATATCTTTAAATTCATTTTTCCACTTATTCTGTAATTATTGAAAAAAGTCTTCTAATTTGTCAATTTTTTCTCATAATTCTGATTCATTTCTTACATATTTTATACTTTTGTTGCTTGGTGCAGATTCAGTTTTAGTATGATTTTCTGATGACTTCTTGCTATCATTATGTAATGATCATCTTTGTTCCTGCTGCTCTTGGTCTTAGATTGTAATTTTAGATATTTCTGTAACTACAGAAGCTATCTTCTATTAGTTTTTCGTGACTCATATGTGACTCAAGCAAGTTTCTAAAACTCCATTTTCTCATTCTTAGAATTGGTATACAAATAGTTCCCATATAGGATTATCTTGACAATAAAGTAAAAAGATATATGTCAGGCACTGAGGTTAGAAACAGCACATAGCAAGCACCCAGGGAATTATTATTATTATTATTATTAGAATTATTAGAATTCACTGGGTGCCATGGCTCAAGCCTACAATCCTAGCACCGTGGGAGGCTGAGATAGGAGGATTGCTTGAGCTTAGGAAGTCAAGACTTGTCCAAGTGAGACTTGGGCAACATAAAACCCACCCAGGCTCCATGGCATGTGCCTCTAATCCCCGCAACTCAGGAGGCTGAGGCGGCATGCCGGCAGCCTGAGTCCAAAGTTGCAGTGAACAGTGATGACGCCACTGCACTTTGCTTAGGGCACAGAGTGAGACTCTGTCTCAACAACAACAAAAAAAGAAAAAAAAACAACAACTAGGATTATTAGAACTCATAAGATTCCATGAAACTCTAGCTTTAAAAGCAGGTATTCCCTAGGACCACTAGCTGGCATCAGGCTTAACCAGGCGCTCCTCTAGCTCACAGCACCAGAACACAAGGAGGAACTTTATTGTGTTGTTGCTCTTGTTGCTTTTATTTTCAGAACATTACAAGGGTACACACATCTTGGTTTCTGGGGTGTTTTTTGTTTTTTTGTTTTTTATTTGTTTGTTTTTGAAGACAGAGTCTTACTTTGTCGCCCTTGGTAGAGTGGTAGAGTACTGCGGCCTCATAGCTCACACCTCAAACTCTTGGGCTCAAGCTGCAACTACAGGGGTGGGGGTGGGCAGCTCAGCACTTAAGACTCATGGCCTGCTGAGTCCCCAGCTAATAAAGTTCTTTAGTCCTGGGGTGAGCCTGGATTCAGTGGTCCTGCAACATTTCCACATCCTTGCAATTGTGAATTGTGCTACTATAAACATTCCAGAACACGTGTCTTTGTGATAAAATGTCCTTTTATCCTTTGGGTAAATACGCAGTAGTAGAATTGCTTGATTGAATGATAGGTCTTTTAGTAGAGGGCAGGGCAGAGGGGGTTCTTTGAGAGTCAAAAAAAATGAGACCTTCTTAAGTTTCCCCTTTCCAAAGTAAGAGTGGGAAAGACACTGAAGGGAAGTGGTGAGAAGATGGGGAAATTATAAGGCAAAGAAATCAAATGGTGATGGGGTAGGAGTAGTGAATGAAAGGAACTTTGGGGTAAATCAGAACTGCTAATATTTTGTAGTCGTGGTTACCAGACAGTGTACACATGCAGGAAATTTTGTCAGTGTTGAATACTTCGACCGCCAGGGAACATTTTCTGTATCCAACATAAAGCTTACCTGAGAGTTTCCTCTAAGATAAAACATTTGAGGAACACCTTAAGGTCTACTACATCCTCCTGTTTTGCCCAACAAGATACCTAACTTTTCCTCGAGACTCTGTCCTGATTAACAGTGTAGTTTAGGACAATGTCTCCACCTGTAGAGTAAGGTGTGACCGCTACATTACATTTCAGTTATCTTCCATGGTTAAGGCGTTATGACCTTAGGTGTAATTGTACTAAGGATATCAAAGACTTTTCACAGATCATCTTCTTCCATGAACTTGGCAGATGCAGGAATTAGTATTCCCATTTTGTTAACAGAGAAAGGACATTTCGTGGGGAAGGGAAAGAATCAGGCCAGCCTTCTCTCTCTCCATGCCTATTGTACCCTCTGAGAAATTCTGGAGGTGGATGGTGTGGAGCAGCAGGGCAGCCCCGGCATGAAGCCAAGGAGGATCTGCAAAATAATCCCCCTCTCTCACCCACCCTGCTCCCAACAGCTGCCAGGCAGAAAAAAATCCAAAGCACCAGCTCTGGCGAATTCATTACCAGCCCTGGAAAGCACCTGCTGTTTCCAGGAATGTGAAAATTTCTCTTTCCTAGAATAGGAGCCTTCCAAGGTAAGTCCCTCCCAGCAACCAGTGATGTGGACAATGGTGAATTTTCAGTGGTGAGCACGGTAGGGAGGATTGAGAATGAGGACAGTGCCGGAGATACTTACTCTTTATTCAACAGACTTTTGATTTATTTTCTACTATGAATCTGGCCCTGCGCTAGGTAGCAGATACAAAGCTGAATAAGATATATGGCCTTCCCCAAAGGTACTCGTGGCCGAGAGCAGTGTTATTCAACCTTCTTTATCTCACAGGACACGTGAACCATAGTTAAACTTTCACAACACACTTACATTGATCAAAACAAAAGAGTCAAAAAGAAAAATATACTTAACGTGCTTTGAACTTCTGCCAAAAACAATTTAAATAATGATCTTTAAAAATTGTGCCACAGTACACTGGTTGAAAAATCACTGATCTAGGCTCAGTGCCCTTAGCATAGTGGTTACAACACCAGCCACATACACCAAGGCTGGCAGATTTGAAACCAGTCCAGGCCTGCCAAACAACAATGACAACTACAAACAAAAAACAGCGGGATGTTGTGGTGGGCACCTGTAGTCCCAGCTACTTGGGAGGCTGAGGCAAGAGAATTACTTAAGCCCAAGAATTGGAGGTTGCTGTGAGTTGTGATGCTACGGCACTCTACCAAGGGCGATATAGTGAGACTCTGTCTCAAAAAAAAAAAAAAAGAAAGAAAAGAAAAAGAAAAGAAAAGAAAGAAAAATCACTGATCTAGAGTAAGGACAAAGGACGGACAGAGTTTACTAAGGGCCATAGAGAAGTGAGCTTTGGGAGTGACAGGAGCACATGGCAAGGGCACTTTCTCCAGACAGAGGACACAAGGAAGGCTTCTTGGAAGACCTCAGCCCCATGTTAAATCTTGGGAAAACTCAGAAATCAGGAGAGGGTGCAGAGAGGGATAGGTAAGAAAATACCATATGCAAAGACACAAAGGCCCTGGGGAGGGCAGGAAGTCTGCTGGGGCTAGAGCTAAATGCAACAGGAAAGGGCTACACAGATCTGGTGGAAAACCTCCTCTGCTCCAAAAAGGATCTCAGCAGAAGGGCGTAAGAGCACCTGAAGGGTCTTGTGGAAGTCGCATCATCCCATGTGCTTACAGGAAAAAAAGCGACTTTGTGAAGAATGGCTGGAAGAGTGGAACTACTGGCAGAGAAACTTCTCTGCCGATGAGAGCATCTGAGACTATGAATGCAGGCTGTAGGGATGGGACTTCAGAGCTAGAAGCGACAGAACTTTGCTCCATCTGATTATGGATTAGCAATTATGGATCTAAGATACAATCTAATTCATTAGTTCAGAATGTGGACTCTGGGGTCAGGCCTGGATTCAAACTCCAAATCCGCCACTGTGAAAACTTGGGAAAGTCACCTAATCTCTTTGAGCCTGAATTTCCTCATTGGTAAAACAGGGATAATAATTAGCCTCATAGGTTTAGAGATAAGGACTAAAAGTGATTAACAAAAAAAGTTGGCTTAGTTCTTACTCATATTAAAACTCTATAACTGGCTTTTTATTAAGGAACTGTTCTCTGCCGCTCCACACCCAAGATTCCCCAAAATATCAGACACTGGTGAGAACGGGGAAGGATACAGAAAGGCAACTCATGGATAGTTACCTCATCCAGCAAAAAGTAACTATAGTTATCACCAGGGAATAAAAAACTAGGTAGTTTTACTTTTCTTCTTTGTACTTCTCTACATTGTCTAAATTTTTCACACAAATGTGCCATCGTTTATGTAGCAAGGAAAATATTTTAAATATATTCATCATGCCACAAGGCACTGCTCAGCACCAGGCAAAGCTCATTCACCCAGGAACTAAGGTTCCTGGACACAGACAGCATCCACTCCAGCCCCCATGCACCCATCTAAAGCACATTTGTACGCCAAATCTCCATCCCACTTTCAGCTCAGGACAACTAACTACCCAAGGGCACAACCCAGGGAGACTGAAAAGAGGAGCTGCTTTGGGTCTTGGAGATGGCCCTCAGAAGGCCCAGTGTCCTGGGGCCTCAGTCCTCCAGCCACTGGCACACCAGGCGGGAATAGAGGTCCTTCCCCTCCCTGAGCTGGTCCAGCTCCCGAAGCTCGCCCTGATGGAGCAACAGGATCCGGTGGGCGCGCTGAACCGTCTCCCGCCGGTGAGAGATCAGCAGCACTGTGCGGTCCCCGAGGCTGTTCCAGTCCTGCAGCTGAAGGGGAGGATCGCAGAGCCTCAGAAAGGGAACGGTGGGATGGACACCACACCCTCTGGGCACCTTCTCTTGTGACTCAGGACAAGGCGTGGAAAAGAGAAGGTAGGAGAGGGCGGCAGATGACAGTCCCCACTGCCCTTCTCTCTCAGTCGGACTGCTGCAACTGGACAGCTGTGAGGCAGCCTGGGAGGGACTGGGGCTGCCCCCACGCCACCGGACTCCACACTCCACTTCCCAACCCCAGGAAGGCACAGATCGTCCTTCCACTAGTGACCTTAGTCTTGCTCCGCCCAATTCTACCCAGGCTGGGCCTCCCCTTGTGACCCCGCAGGCCACCGTCCCCTGCTCCTCCCATCGTGGCACTCACCGCCTGCTCACACTGCGCATCCAAGGCACTGGTGGCCTCATCCAGGATGAGCACCCGGGGGTTCCGCACGAGGGCCCGGGCAATGGCCAGACGTTGTTTCTGCCCTGCGGCCAGCTGGCTCCCCTTCTCCCCTATGTCTGAGGAAATCAGAGCAATTCCTTCCTCAGACATGTGACCAGGACAACTCTCCCCCACAAGGAAGGACAAGTGCATAACTGGTATTTTCATTGGGACCTTCCCAGAAGATGGGCGGCCCAGTGGGAGGTGTTACGGGGGCGGGGCCTAGCAGTGCGGCCCACCTGGAGGGGGCGCTACTGCGGCATTGCTTCCTGAGGACAAAGACCCCTGAGTGAGAGGCTGAAGGAGGGCAGGTGGGAGGACAGGAAAGGACACACCACACCACCAAGAATAAGTTCCATTTCTCTCTGTACTGAGGGGGCAGGCTTCCAATTTGCAAAAGATACCTGTATATATTCCATCCTTCATTTCCTGTATGAAGTCATCTGCGTGGGCAGCCTGGACAGCAGCCGCCACCTTATCATCCTCACAGCTCTGCAGCCCATAGGTAATGTTGTCCCTCACAGAACCAGAGAACAACACAGGCTCCTGCCCAACTGAAGCCACCTGTGCAGAGGGGACAGAGGCAGAGGACTGTGTGGAAACCCCCGTGACAGGGACCCTGCTTCCCTCCTGGCCTGCTTCCCCCAGGATGGCCCTGGTGCTTCCTCCCTCTTTTCTTCCATTCTGTCTCTGTGCATGCTCCTCTATCCCTCTCCTCCCCTCTTCTCTCTCCCCACTCACCTGGCTGTGCAGGTAGCGGTGCTCATATTGCCAGACAGGCTTCTCATCCAGCAGCACCTGTCCCCCGGTGGGCTGGTACAGATTCTGCAGCAGGGCAGCCACCGTGCTCTTCCCAGACCCATTGGGTCCCACCAGCGCTGTCACCTCACCAGGACGTAGGGTGAATGTCAGCCCCTAGAAAACCAGGGAAGAGTTAGGGGCCCACCTCTTCTCCTCAGGACCCCTCCCTTTTGCTTCCTTCAGCAGCAAAACCAGCTTCTGAAAGGCAAATGATCTACAGGCTGTGCAGCCTGATCACACACAAGCATCAGACAGTAAGGGGTCCATGGCCCTCCCTGTGGCCTCTCCCAGGCACCTTGAGCACAGGCTGGTCAGGGCGGTTGGGATATGCAAAGGAGACGTCCTGGAACTCCACCAGCCCCTGCAGAGTGGTGGGGGCCAGTTCCCCAGGGCAGGGCAGATTTGGCTGACGGTCCAAGTAAGAAAAGACCTTCTCAGCAGCTCCCACGTTGCTTAGCATATCCCCATACATGTACACCAGTGACTGGAAAACAGGAAGGAGGCAGAGAATCAGACACACCTCCACCGGAAACCAACTGCCACTCCTCACACATCCCCACAACCACACTTCTCTGCCTTATCCAAAAACACTCACAACCCTTAAATGTGCAATTTGGTGGGACTTACAAGTGAGTACCCCAGTGTTCCAACTTGCAATGTAAAGGATACAAAGACCATTCTCCCACCAGACCCCAGTACCTCCATCCCCAGACCTTTGCGATTTCTGTTCTGTATTACTGTGCGCACTTCTGCCTTGCTCGATTAGACAGGGAACTCCTTAAAAGCAGGCACTGTGCCCAACTTATCTCTGTAGCCACCAGAGGGCCTAGCACAGTTCTCCACACATTAAAGATGTTTATAAAACATCTAGGAAAATTTTAAATAAAGTGTTAGCTGAAGTAACTATTTTTGAGAACCAGTAAACATTGGAAAAGAATGAAATGCTCATTCTGCCTTTCCTGATCAAACTGTACTCCTGGGTACCAAATAGTGGCTGAGGGGAGCTCCCCCTCCTAGAAGTGTTCCAGCCAACTAATGGAGGAAAGACAGAGTGTCACCAGTCTGCAGCCCCACTCACTTAATGGACCTGGGCACCATGCTTCAGTGGCTGATGCCACCACAGAAAGACACCTACATATTGTGTGTCTCCTGAAACAGGAACAAAGCATCTAGGAAATACTCTTGTCTAAAAAAGAGAAAAAAACAGAATCCCAAAAGCTTCTGGGTTTACCTAGCAACTAACAGGAAATACAGAGGCAAAAAACATATTAAAATAAGACCACAGGGATTCAATCAACAAAATCCAGACCACAAGAAACTCTAAAGGACAAGCCCATTTCTTCAATAAATAAATCGCAAAGGGTAAATCTTAGAGGTAGACAGATAGATAGATATATAGATACTTAAAAGACATATCAACCAAAATTAAAAAAAGACATATCAACCAATCACAGTGTATGGATCTTATCTGGATCCTGATTCAAGTATGTACACACACACACACCTATTTTAACATATAAGTGGAAATTTGATCATTACTGTATTTAATAGATTTTAAGAATTATTGTTAATTTTTTGATGTGGTAATAGATTTGTTGTTATATTTTTTTAAGATATTTATGTCATTGGAGATACATACTGAAATATTTACAGATGAAATGATACAATATCTTGGTTTTGCTTCACAAGAATAGGGATGGGGGACATGGGTCAGGATACATATCAAACAAGATGGTCATGAGTTGATAATAGCTGCGAAAGTAGGTGATAGGTACGTGTGGGTTTGTAATATTTTGTCTTTCTTTTATTGGTATAAATTTGAAATTATCCATAACAAAATTATTTGTGTTGTTTTGTTTTGTTAAGGGGAACAAATAGAGCCCATGCCCAGAAAGCCAGAGAAAAAAAGAGGGGGAAAGGGCACCTTGGGGCTGTTCACTCACATGCACATAATTTCCCACTTCCTCCTGGTAGATGAGGAAGGAGAGCAGCCCGCCCTGGGTCATCTCACGGGCCCTGATCTCCTGCAACCCACAGCTCAGCATCAGCACCTGCCCGCCCAAGGGCAACAGCTGGGAGGAGAAAAGACAGACACAGGGCTGAGAAAGTCTTCCCCCCTTCTTTCCCTTTCCCCCCTTCTTTCCCTTTCATGCCCCTAAGAGACTGAGCCTTATGGGACCAAGAACCAGCCATGAGATCCCCATTCCATTAGCTCCCCCTTCTATGCCCTCTTCCCCCTGTCACTCAGCCATCTCACCCTCCTTAAGAGCAGGTACAGGGCTCGCTCCAGGTCTCGTCGCCACCACAGCTGCCGGCATCGCTCCAGGGCCTCCTTGTAGCGCCAGACCTCATGCTCCTCAGCCCCGAAACTGCGCACCGTCTGCAGCCCTCCAACAGCCTCCCGCACCACCTGCCCCGCCCTGGCCACTGCATCCTGGATCTCCCGAAGCACTGCCTGGAAAGGGGGACAGTGAAGATAGGAGGTTGATACAGAAAACACCAGGCCCCCATGTCTCATTCCACCTGTGGGGTCTCCCCATCCACCTAAAAACACCAAACTCTTCTGTTTCCTGTTCCTTGCTTTTCTTTCCAGGAGTAAGAGTGAAGGTGTGAGGGAACAAAACACTACTGAGCTCTCAGTGTTAGGTCGTGTAGGAGAAACCTGCCAATGAGTTACCCTTCATGTGAGGTGGTTCTGCCACCCCATGTCTGAAGGAGCCACAGATCATTAAGAAAAGTAGACATGTAATTGGAAATGGATCAAAGATCTAAATATAGGAGCTGAAACTATAAAACTCCTAGGAAAATGTGGGAGAAAACTTTATAACGCTAGATTCCACAACGATTTCTTGGATGCAATTCCAAAAGCACAGGCATCAACCAATTAGATGAAATTAAAAACTTCTGTACATCAAAGAACTATCAATAGAGTGAAAAAGTAATCACAAAATCCAAGAAAATATTTGTAAATCATGTACCTGTTAAGGGATTAACATCCAAAATATATAAAGAACTCCTACAACTCAACAATGACCAATAAAAACCCCAAATTATTAAAAATAGGGCAATGGACTTGAAAAGACAACCCTCCGAAGATTAAAAGATGGCCAGTAAGCACATGAAAAGATGCTCAACATCATTAATCATTAAGGAAATGTGAGTCAAAATCATTAGAATGGTTATAATTTTAAAATTGTCAATAACAAATATAATAATAAGTGTTGACAAGGAAGTGGGGAGATTAGAAACCTTATTCAATGGCAGTGGAGATATATACAATGCTGCAGCTGGTATGAAAAACAGTGTGGTAATTTTTTTTTTAAATAGAATTACCATAGGATCCAGTGGCTCCACTTGTGGGGATACATTGGAAAGAATGGAAAGCATGGCCTTGAGCAGATATTTGTACATTCATGTTCATAGCAGCATTATTCACAATAGCCAAGAGGTGGAAACAACTCAAATGTCCATCAACAAAAGGCTAGATAAGCAAAATGCGGTATATACACACAGTGGGATATTATGCTGCCTTAAAAGGAAGGAGATTCTGGCACAGGTTACAACATAGAAGAAACTTAAAGACATTATGGTAAGTGAATAAGCCAGTCACAAAAAGATAAATACTGGATGATTCTATTTATATATGATCCCTGGAGTCATCAAATTCATAGAGGCAGAAAATAGAATGGTGGTTGTCAGGGCTGAGGGTCTGGGGAAGTGAGGAGGGTTTAACGAGTACAGAGCTTATTCTAGGAAGATGAAAAAGTTGTGGAGATGGATGGTGACAATGGTTGCCCCACAATCTGAGTATACTTAATGCCAGTGAACTGTACACCTAAAATGTTCAAAATGTCAAATTTGATGTTAAGTATATTTTACCATAATAAAAGAAAAAGAGAAGGTGGTACTGACATTCAGACTCTGGACCTCCTGGCTGCACAACCTTCGTTCCCTACACACCATCCAAATTCCTTCTGATGATTTTAAAGAGAAAATATCTCTCTACTTCAACCTGCTAAGGAATCATTTTTTTTTTTTTTTTTTTTTGAAACAGAGTCTCGGCTCAGCACCTGTGGCTTAAGTGGCTAAGGCGCCAACCACATATACTTAAGGTGGTGGGTTCAAATCCAGCCCGGGCCCACCAAACGACAATGACCACTGCAACCAAAAAATAGCCGGGCATTCTGGTGGGCGCCCGTGGTTCCAGCTACTTGGGAGACTGAGACTCCCAAGTAGAGGGAGACTCGCTTGAGCCCAGGAGTTGGAGGTTGCTGTGAGCTGTGATGCCACAGCACCCTACCCAGGGTGACACCTTGAGGCTCTGTTTCAAAAAAAAGAAACAGAGTCTCACTATGTCATCAGGTGGAGTAACGTGGCATCACAGCTCACAGCAACCTCTAATTCTTGGGTTTAAGTGATTCTTTTGCCTCAGCCTCCCAAATAGCTGGGACTACAGTAAGGTGACCAGATTTTAACATTGGTAAAGTGGGACACGATTGGGGGTGGGCGGGGTCTTGGGGGCATGGCCTTACAACAATGCAAACTTTGATAAGCAGTTCTCGATAATCAGTACTCAACAATTATTTGTTATTATTAAAGTTTAACATTATAAAATTAACAAAAATAATATAAAACTCATATCCTGGCAAAATTGCCACATGGCAGCCGAAAATCGTATATTCCCTTGGCGTTCTCCCACAGTTCCCTAGCTTGTCATGCATTCTTTCCAAAAATTGAGACTTTTTTAAAACACTGCGGGACGTGGGACAAATTGTTAAAAATTGGGACTGTCCTGTCAAAAGCAGAACATCTGGTCACCTTAGACTACAGGCACCCACCACAACGCCCGGCTATCTTTTTTGGTTGCAGTTGTCATTGTTGCTTAGTAGGCCTGGGCCAGGCCTGAACCCGCCAGCTTCAGTGTATGTGGCTGTCATCCTACTCACTGAGCTATAGCACCAACCCTAAGGTATCATTTTTAATCTTCTGTGTAGACTACATTGAGAAGCTGATGAAGAGTTATCATCTCCCCTGAAAAATGCCACCCCCCTCTCTCACACACACACACATATATATCTGCTTACAAGTTCCCCCTTAGGGGGTCAGGGGCCTTGTGAACTCACAGGTCCATTGATGGATGACTAGATAAACAAAATGTGACATACACATACAATATACCTTCCACACTAAGGGTTGAGAAGAGAAAATCTTTCTCTAGGAGACCCACTAGCTATAAAAGTGGAATCCTCCCCACCTCTAAGTTTTATTCTCCCCTCAGGGTTCCCTAACGTCTACACATACCTGATGGCGGGCATTATACACCTTCTCGGCTGCTATTGTGAGTGGCACATGGAGCAGAGAGAGGAGGGTGAGTCGAGGCGATACGTTGAGCATGAAGGCGTAGAGTCCCACCACTTTCACCAGGCTTCGCAAGAGTACATTGGCATTTAAAGGGAGCCAGGAACTCATCAGGTTGGTATC